CAGAAAACGAATCAACATCGTCAATTCTAAGTATGTCAACTAGCCCTCAAGCAGAAACCTCAGCTGCCGCCACCACACGAAGACAGGAATGTCCAGAGCATCAAGAAACTAAACCCGAATCTCAAGACCTAAGGAAGGATGAAAATGACTTTATTAGCTTAGAGGCACATAGAGCACTGACAGAAGTGCCGGAAGACCAACAAATTTGCTACGTTTATTCCTCCCCAACTTCTTACCAAGTTGAACATGATGATATAATTATAATTTTGACGAACAACTTCTTATTCATAACCCAGAAAACTCTGTTCTACTCTTACCTTTAAACGATGTGGTAATCAACAATCTCTATAGAAGTAGCGATTACCAACCAGAATATGAAGACCAATATATTTGACAAAGTGCAGTAAGAACTTATGCTCACGGATATCAGAGACCTCAAGTCGTAAACAACTCTATTGTAGAACTATTGAAACCAGAGACTTGGCCAAAAGACAACTATTTTTTACAAGACTCTCACGTTCATTTTGAGATTAATAGCCCACCACCCCAAAGACTTCCTTCTACCCTGACTTGAACCCCACCACTCCAAAGACCACCTGTCAACAGGCAACAACAGCCCTAGCGGCTTCACAGACCTCTAAACTGCCCACCAAGGCAGAATCCACCCCTTGTTCAAACACCTCAACCCCAGCCTCAACCGGCTCAAGGAGCTGCCACCGCAAATCCTATAAAACAATTGCTACAGAGTATGAATAATCTCATACTTTCTATGGGGACGAATACAAACCAACCCCGAGAAGCTAAAGTGGTCAAGTTCCCCACCTTTAGTGGCAGTAACCAAGACCTACTTATATGGTTAGACGAGTTTGACAAGACGTGTATTGCAAACCACATGTCGGAACAAAGGAGATTCAATATTCTATCATCCTACTTGAAAGGAATAGCCTACACTTGGTGGAGAAACAAAGCACAAAATGTTTGGGCCTAGGATGACTGCACCCACCCACAAAATTCCTTTGTTTACCTTTTTCAACAACAGTTTTGCACTATGCACCAGCAAAACCAATGAGTGTCAGAACTGCAGACAAGGCAACAAGAACCAAGCGAGACAGTAGATGAATACTATAACGCGTTAGAGAAACTTTATTGTAAAGCCAACCCCATGCAATGATATCTACAAGTAGATCATATAAGGCAATTTATTGATGGACTAAGGCAGGAACTCAGGGAACTAGTAGAGATGGAATGTCCCATGACCATCCAGCAAGCATTGAAAAAAGCAAAAGCTACAAAAGCAGCGTACTCCAGAGGAGGTTCCCTAAGCTCCTACTCTCTAAAAAGAAGCTACCTAAGCAGATAAACGATGAAATTAGTGAATTAAAAAAAAGCTATTTTCAAAATGGCACAAAACATAAAAACGCTGATCCAAAATAAAAATAAGAACGATAACTTAGCCGTAGGCCAAACGATTAATACACCCTGACCCAACTTCAATCAAGCTCGTCTGTTTAACTCCGATAATATATGCTATGAGTGTGGAGGTCATGGACACCAGGAAGGGAATGTTCAACCCGGGCAAAACATATTTCTAGTAATAGAAATAATCGCGGCCAAAACCAGTCAGTAAGCTAGCAGAATGGGCGTCAAACTTTCCCTAACAACCCTGGGAACAACCAAAATCAGATTGGACCAACCTCGAACAATAATCGGTCAACTACTAACAATGGTAATAATCAGAATCAAGGTAACATGACCCAACATGAAAATAATGGAAACCAGACTTACTTTGCTATATCAGCCGAAGATCTGTTTGGGCAATTTCTAACGCAGTAAGGAAGCATTTAAACTAACTTAGGCCACTTCTCGCAAGGGTGAGAATGCTGAAAATAAAAGCAAAAAAAATCACTTAGCTAACGATTATGACTTAATGGATTAACTATTGCCAAACGACTTACTATCACCTTTAGTATTGAATAGCAACATGGAAACACAGGTCATTTCTCTCCAACCTATAGAAGTAACTTATTGCAAGGCTACTGTAGATCAGTACCCTATTTATTTGATATTGGATACAGGATCCAGCAGAAGCCTGGTTTCCCAAGAATTTTTAAAAAAAATCAAGAGAAATATCAATAAACCCTCGACAAGAAATTTAATTAATATAAATGACTATAGGAAACACCTGCTAGGAGTTGTGGAAAATTTACCTATTAAGGTTGGGGGAGTAGAAATGCCTATCGACGTAGAAGTCATGGAAGTACGAAATTATACAGTCATCATAGAGATGGATTGGCTGGCTAAAGTTAAAGGAAAAATTAATTTAAAATACGGAATTTTCGAATATGAATAGAACGACTATAAATATAGAACAACGATCACTTGTTGGGAAAGAATAAAGTACGAAGAAGGAAAATGGTATTACTAGAAAATCAAGGCTTACACGAAAAGGAAGATGATGACGGACCAGTCGAAGAATATAAACCCACTATGACTATAGAAGAAAGAAGCTATGTTGTGCAAGGAGATGAGAACAAACTCCCTATTATAGAGATAGATAAAAATAAAAATAGAATAGAAGGAAAAACGAGGTTGATAAAAGATTACAGAAAATTAAGAGATGAAAGTAAGGAAAGATTTAACAACAATAAGATTTGGCGTTGCTGGAATGGTCTCAACGCTATATATTGGTACAAAAAACGGTTAGATGGAATAGGAGATAAATATCAGGACTGCAAAGGAATAATAGAAAAGATAGAAACTCTAAAAAGCCTGGTCAAGAACCTGGATAAAGAGTTAGAGGTAGTTAAAAATGGCAAAAGGATAGAGAAATTGGGATGTGAGCAACAATTAAAGGTAAAAAAACTGTTAGAAGAAAATGAGAATTTATTTGCAGAAGGTTTGACTCAAGTAGAACGAACAGAGATAGAAGTACATCGGGTCTCATTAATGGAAGGCGCTCAACCGATAAAACAAAGGCCCTACCGTATGTCCCATACCAAGCAGAAATTTATTAATCAGGAGGTGGAACAAATGTTAAAGCACGGTATAATACAGGAATCAGACAGTCCATGGAGTTCTCCTGTTATGTTAGTGAAAAAAAAGAATAGTAAGACCCGATTTTGCATGGATTACCGGAAACTGAATACTTTAATGTGGAAAGATTCTTACCCATTACTGCTAATAGATGATATCCTGAGTGCCCTAAATAAGTCTAGATGGTTCTTCACCTTAGATTTGGCAAGCGGGTATTGGCAAATAGAAATGTGCCCTCAAGATCGCGAAAAAACTGCTTTCGTGACCAAGAATGGCCTATACGAATTTTTGGTCATGCCGTTTGGGTTAACAAATGCACCGGTAACATTTCAACGGTTAATAAATAAAATTTTTCATAAAGTTATTGGGAAATTTGTGTTAGTATATCTTAATGACATTAACGTCTATTTGAAAACTTTCAAGGAGCATTTAAATCATTTTTAACAAGTCTTCAGCCTCTTAAGAGAAGCAGGATTGCACTTAGGAAAAGATAAATATTATTTTGTTAAAGAACAGTTAGTATTTTTAGGACATGTTATAAGCGAAAAGAGTATTACCCCTGATCCAGCAAAAGTCAAGAAAGTACGAGATTTTCCTACTCCAACTAACCTTACAGAGCTTCGGAGGTTTATTGGGTTGGCCTTATACTACAGAAAGTTTATCAAAAATTTCTCCAAAATCATATATCCGCTCCACTCCCTACTAAAGAAAAAAGTCATGTTCAATTGGAATGAACAATGTAAGGAGGCCTTCAAACGATTAAAACAAAGACTCATTACTGCACCTATCCTAAAGTATCCTGATTATAACAAGCCCTTCATACTCCATACTGATGTCTCGTATCTCAGTTTAGAAGCTATTCTGGCTCAAAAGGACAAATGTAACAAAGAATACGTCGTTGCATATGCTAGTCGAGGACTGAATGACCCTGAAAAAAATTATTCAGCAACTGAAATAGAATGCTTGGCTGCTATTTGGGCCATGCAGTATTTCCGCCCCTATATTTATGGAAAAGAATTTGAATTAGTTACTGACCACCAGGCCCTTAAATGATTATTAAATAATCCTAATCCTACTAGAAGACTGGCTAGGTGGATTATGATTGCTGCCAAATATCTGTGTATCATACGATATAGAAAAGATTTCACCCATACTAATGTAGACGCCCTATCGAGAATTCCTCATAAGCCACCGTGAGAAAAAAGGCAAATAAGAAAAATTAATAAACGAGTCAAAAAAAAAAAAAAAAAAAGTTGAAGGATATATTACAATTCAATAATATAAGTTGAAAATTAAAATCTGGACCCAATCCAGCCCAGATTACCGGTGTCCTGGCATCTAAAAGAAATTAAAATATTTTAATGATAAAGTTTTAAAGTTATAATAATTTTTTAAGATGGATTTATAGTACTATCAACAACTAAAACTATACCTTGAAACTACAAAGATTCTCGAAAACCTAGATATAGCCCAGCAGAAAAAATTTAAGAAACAAGCCACCTATTATGTTATCAATAAAGATTTTCTCTATAGAAAAAACAAAAAGCGGAATGAATCTTTATTGCAAGTGATAAAAAATAACGAATTAGAGCAAGTATTACATGGCTTACATTCAGATTTAATAGCCGGACATTTTGTGATAAAATCAACTTACAATAGGGCTAAAGGTAAATACTATTGGCCACATATGTATAAAATCATTACTGATTATGTACAGACCTGTGATGTGTGCCAACAACAAGGAGCCCTGAGATGACATGAGGAATTACACCCACTCGAAGTAGGAAATCTTTTTGATCGAGTGGGCATTGACATAGTAGACCTGTTCAAAAATATTTCTGAAAGTAACAACCGTTACATCATTGTAGCTACAGAATACTTAACAAAGTGGCCTAAAGCTCGGGCTATCCTGGATATGACCACTCCCACTATTACCCGATTCATATACGAAGAGATTATCTGTCAACATGGCTGCCCTAAAACCCTCTTATCAGATCAAGGTCGATTTTTTTGTAATGAAATTGTAGACACCTTATGCGAAATTGTGACTATTCGTCACAAATTGTCTACTGCATACTACCCGCAAATGAATAGGCTGACTAAAAGATTCAACAAAACCCTGTGTTTGACACTAGCCAAGTTAGTAGACAACCACAGAACCACGTGGAATACTCTACTGCTAGCAGCTCTCTTCGCTTACCGGACCCTACAGAACCACACTACAAAACACAAGCCCTTCTACCTTATGTATAGCCAACACACTATAGTGCCTCTAGACTTGCAGCTACAAGGAAGTAAAGAAAGTACTGAGGAATCGCTAGATCAATCACTAACCCAACATATAGACAAAATTACCAAACAGTTGAACCAACAATGACTCCAAGCCCAAAATAACATCAGAAATGCTCAAGAAAGACAAAAAGGATACTATAATAAGAGTATTAAGTCCATTGAATTTAAAATTGGTGATCAAGTCCTCCTTTATGAATCTGCCAAAGAGAAGGTTTATAGCAACAAACTTAGAGAAAAATGGAAAGGCCCTTACTTCGTCCATGATTACAGAGTCTCTGGTGCATACAAGCTACGAACGGTCGAAGAGAAGGTTCTGAAAAATGCAGTAAATACGGATCGACTGAAGAAGTACTATAACCACCCAAGTTGGGAACCTGTTATATATTTATAAGAATAAATAAAAAAATAATAATAAAAAAAATTTTTTAATTTAAAAGAATCTTAAAGTTATACTCGGAAAACCTCGTGACTTAAAGGAGAGGATGTGTAATATAAAAGTCAGGAACGTCTGGTGCATCACAGCTGTTACGTGAGTCATATGATACTATCGAAGCCATAACTGACCAGTTTATTATAGATATTTTATTTTCATTATTTATTTTTATTTTAGTATATATTTGTTATACGCTTAGCTATTATTATACATATTATATAGTATTTATTTAGAATATCATTTTAGTAGCTATGTATTTTTTCATAATGCATAATGTTCATTATATATATTTCGTTACGCATAATTCATTACGCATAATGATCATTATGCATAAATTCGTTATGCATAATAAGGGCCAGAATATAAGTCTTATAGTAGTATATAGTCGCATCTAAAGAAATACTTAAATAGTTAGAAGCATTAGTGAAAACGAAGGTATAAAAAGAC